GCAGGAATATGCCCCAAAGATCGAAATAATTTCTGAAACGACGAATGACAGTGATTCTGTGTTAGAGGAAAACAACAAAAGCATGTTTGAGAATTCAGTAGGAGAAGTCCCAACAGCAATTTTTTCAAAACCGTGTAAAATACGTGAAGAGCATGAAAAGGAGCACTTAAGACCTTTCATTGAAAGCTTCTTTACAGAACCTGCTAATTCAGAAAGCCCTTTGGTGACCAAAGATAAACAAGCAACCCCCACAAAACCCTTGATAGAGGAGATTATCACCGAGCCCCAGGATGATCTGCTCTTGTCACCAGTCTGCAAGCCACCCCATGACCCATGCCCGTGGGAAGAGGACTCCAAGATTACAGTTGCTCGCCCTGGTGAGATTACAGTGACATAATTAATCACAGAGAAAAAGGTGGGCAGCTCATACATTCTAAAATTAAGGGTTTGTTCAGCACTTGTCAAAAAAATTTTCAATCCACTGTTAGTTAAACATCACCTCTTTTATTTATGAGGGAACCCTAATAAATTAGGAATTAAAATGTTATTTTCTCTTCTTTCTACATGTGATTTTTTGCTCAGTTTTATTTAAATGGTTTTTAGAAATCAGGCTCTACATTTCTTTTTCCAATATTGAAGACCAGCAGTGAGTTTCATTTGCCTCCATGATTTTTAACGGAATGGCAGTGATGGAGAAGTGCAGTGCCTGGCTGAGGGTGAAGGATGTCCTCATGAAGCACAAGATGACAAGGACAGCAAGAGAGGATTAGATTGATCACTTTGAAAAAAAACAAAACAGACCAAATGTGGAGCCAGTGCCTGCCTGGCTGCCTGTGGTTACTCTCAAAACGTAGAGCTCAGCGACGGGACCGTTAGTTATGACTGACACGACAAGGATATAAAAAACCACCGCCTTGAGCAGGAGGCCTCTTTCAGTCATAGAGGCTGCTGCGGCCTCCAGCACCTTCGGGGCAGAACGGTTGGTTGTGTCAGCGTGAAAAAAGCCCATAAATCCTCCGTAACTCACGGGCAGCACACGCCTTGTGTTCCTGCTGCCAGAGCGGCTGGAGA